TGACTGACACTTTGTCCCACCACCTTCCTCACCCAAACCCAGGCTCTTCTCTCCTTCCTTTCGCACCCAGACTACACACCCTCTCCCCTTCCCTGCCCTCCCCCTCCCCCTGGTCTGGGACCTCTCGCCCCTGGGGACCTGCACCTCCCTGCTCATCCTTGCAGCTCGACTTCGTGCCTTTCCCTTGTGCTGTGTGTCCCAGGCTTGGCAGGCCCCTTGCACCCGCGGTCACCCTTCCTTCTCCTGAGCACCCTAGTACCCCCCGGGAGAGCATGTCTCTTAGCACTCCAGCCTGGTTTCTCATTTCTGTCTCGGAGTATATGCCGGGCAGCTTTCCTACCACGTTTTCAACAAAGCATATGTTTGGGAACACGCGTGTGCAGGTGTGGACTGAGGTTTCTCGGCGTCTCTGCAGCCTGTCGGTCCCTCCCTTAGGGGAGCTTCTTTGAGGTGGATCTTCCTGGGCTGGGCTGCAGACGTCCCCCAACCCCCAGCTCCACCCACCGGCCTCTCCTTGGAAAAGTCCAGCCCGAGCCTGTGGACAAGGCGGGGTTTCTTCCTGAGCTGCGTGGCCTCCTGGCGCCCCTTCCTGCTGGCCTCAATGAGCCTTCTATTCCGCCCTGACCGCCCGTTGAAAGGCAGGTTAACGGGCCGGCCTTCTCGCCTCCGGACTTCGTCAGGACGTCCCATCCTGTGTGGCCCAGAGCGTCACCTGGAGAAGCGTGGTTGGGTCAGGCACTGTTACAGGTCCCCACTGTGGTCTGGGGACAGAGGCCTCTCTGTCGTCTTACTCTTCTTCTTGTCCAGATGAACCTGACCACACAGGCAATGTCCCGTCACAGGTGGGGGAGGGAATCACATTCCAAGCGTACAGGTCACTCTGTGTCACCGCGTGATCCCGAAGTCGAGGTGTAAATCTGATAATTTCAAACCTTGCGTGAGCTACTAGTTTCCTTTCTTCCCCCTGAAGCTGTGCCCCAGATGTAGTCCACGCCCTGTTTTTATGGCCAGTAGCAAGTAAACACGTAGGTTTAAGCCGTTGGTCCTTGAGGACGTTTTTACCCACCAGCCCACTGTTCCTCTAACCTGCCACGTTTCCTGAGCCCGCGGGGTGAGGAGAGACCCAGGGTGCGGTGGGAGCAGGTCTCGCTCTCGTGCTGTGTTCGCCCCCACTCCCGAAGGCGGCCTTTGGGGTGAGCTCATGCCGGGTTCCCCCAAATACACATGGCCCCTCTCATCTGAGCCTCAGGACTTTCCAGGCGGCAACATGGCAGTTGTCACACGACAGTCTAGGGTGAGGTATAGATGCTGTAGTGTTTGCTCTTCCAAAAGCAGCGTATCTCAGGTCTGGGAGTGTGGTCCAGGGTCCTGGAGTGCGTCAGGATTACCACAAGGAAGTCGTCTCTCAGTTGTACAGATTTCTGTGGAACGGTCTCCGGGATGGGGGTGGAGGGTGAGGGGAGACGGTAATTATTCTTTGTCCTTCATTAACACTGTAGACTGTGGAGATTTCTGGAAAGCTTAGTAAATGCCAACATTAAGGGGATTTAGAACTTTTATAGCGATTTAGGACTTTTATGTTGATTTAGACGGAGGCAATTGCTTAGGAAAAAATCCTGATGCTAGAGAAGTCTCTTTGGGAAGATGTTCGGTTTCCCTTTTGCGTGCCTTTCAAGTCCCACTTGTTTATCTGTGATAAGTGCTGTCAGAACATGGAACTCGTAGCTCCAGGTTCTCAGGCAGGGGAATGGGCCATGGGAAACGAGGCAGGAGTGGGGCTCGCGACGGGGCCATGAGCACATGTGTGCATTAGAGGGACAGCATGGGTGTGAGTGTGAGGTTGGAGCCCTGCAGAATGGCTCCGAGGGGTCGCTGTGTCCCGGGAGCCCAGCACTGAGGGCAGTGGGAGAGAAGATGGATTCAGGCAGGTGTGTCCACCGTCATTGGGAGCACACACACCTCCTCCCAATCTGGGCCCATTGTGGGATTATTGCACTCCCTATTTTCTGGTTCCAGAAAACAAGCCTGATGTTAGTGTTGTCAGGGGTGGCATTTTTAACGGACAGGGCAACATTTTGGCTGAAAGTCCTCCAAGTATAATGTTGATGACACAGAGTAAGCATACACAGCCCGCTGAGGTACAGTCAGTATAAGCCAGGAGAGCCGTGTGTGGATGCTCTGGCCCCTGGGAAAAGGTGGAAGTTCTTTCCCTGTCCCCAAGATGTCCACGTCCTAACCCCCAGAACCTGCAAATATATTACACAGCAAAGGGGGATGGAGGGAGCAGCTGGAATTGAGGGTGCTAATCAGGTGAGATCATCCTGGATGCCCAGGAACACCCAGTGTGACCACAGGGTCCTTACAAGGGAAGAGGGAGGCAGGGGAGCCTTGGAGGTAGGGCAGGAAGACACAGAGAGGTGCAGCAATGCTGGCTCCCAGCAGGAGGGAGGGGCCGCAAGCCAACGGATGCCGGCGGCCACTGGAGGCTGGAGCCGAAGAGCCAGGAGAGCCTCAGAGAGGCGGGCCCTTGATCTTAGCCCAGCGATACCCACATCGTGCGCCGCCCGCAGGGTACACAGTGACTGCTGGGCAGGTTTAGGGGTGCAAACCTGCCCAGTTTGCAGTGATGTAACAGCAGTGATGGAAAATTAATACACTCCTCTTGGGTGGTCGGCTTAAAAATGAGACTGAGAAATACGTGACCCCGAACTGTATGTAACTGATTTGGTGAACGTGAGTGCCTGTTGTGTGCCCAGGGAGGGTGGGGAGGCAGCATTTAGTGGTATCCGGAGAGCATTCCTTCAGCGCTGGCGGCAAAGTCCTGGAGGTCAGTGGGTTCAGCTCTCCTTCCAATCAGGCAGTGCACTTGGGCAGCAAGCAGAGTGGGGGGCTGCCCGCTGCCTGGACCCGGGCTCTTTAGGGCCATCTGAGACCGCGGCTGGTGGGGAAGGAAGGCAGCTGCTCTGCAGGAGGGGCCTGGGAGGAGAGGGCTGCCCTGTCCAGGGCGCAGGGAGGCAGGAGCTGGGAGGGGGCCTCCTCACCTCAGACCAGGGCTCTCCCTCCCTGCCCTCCCCAGATCCTGAAGGGGAGGAGCCATCACCTCTGTTTGCTCTGCCACCTGTCCGGACCACTCCCGAGGGAAGCCTGAGAAAGCCACCCTCTGGGCTGTAGGCTGTCAGGAATGGCTGCCCCCTTCATCTGAGCCTTGTAGAACCTGGTGGCAGGCCCGAGGATGGCCCGGTAAAGTAGGGGTGTCTGAGCCAGTCCTCACTCTTAGCCGAGGGTGGAGGGGCTGCTCGCTCCTGGGGCAGGGAGGGGGCGTCTCCCTGGGTGCTGTCCCCCTTGGCATCTGGGAACCTGCCTGCCTGGCTGATCCAAACCTGTTCTATAAGGAAATGCTGGTCTGACAGGAGCCAGAAACTCATGAGTGTCAGTGAGCTGCTCCTCAGACAGACCACCCTGGAAGTGGGAGGGAGATTAGGACTCGAGCCTTCTGGGTGGTTGTCCCTCTTTGTGGGTACTCTTTCCAGGGCTGCTGCCCCGCAGTGTGGCTGCTCGGGAGAAAGGAAGCCAGCTGGGGTGCTGTCCCCTGGGGTTCCTGACGGAGAGAACTTGTTGGCAGGCCCACCTGGACGGGTGAGCCTGGCCAGCCAGAGAACCCGACATTTCACTGTAGCAGCTTGGCCCCAGTTTTCCTGACGATGTAAAATCAGCCCACGATGCTGCAGGTGGTGGGGCCGGCAGCCTTCTTGGCACAGTAACGCACCCACACGGCTTAGCCACACTCAGGAGTGAGGGCAGGGCGAGCCCCGGGTGGGCCTGCGTCTGGGAACAGCTTTGTCTCTTTCTCCTCTTGCCTTCACTGGCTCCTTTCTGCTGGGGTGTGTGGCTGGCAGTTTTTTGTGTGTGTTGGGGGTTTGTTTTGTTTTTAATAAAAGTGCAAACTGTCGCTCTGCCCCAGGCCTCCAGCAACAAGACACTGCGCACAGCTTACCATCCTGACCCAGGTGCCTGAAGCCCTGACAGCTGGGCAGCAGGTCCTTGGGGTGGATCCGTGTACCGAAGGTGGGGTGAGGGACAGGGAGGAGAGGGGCTGTGGAGGAGGTGGGTGTGTCCTTCCTTCAACAAGGGGGCCGGGGCCCGAGGCCCAGCCAGGCCCCAGGTGAGGCAGTGCGGACTGTTCAGACTCTGGTCCCTCAGTCATTGGCATTAACAGGAAGGTGCCAAGGGACAGATGTTGCTAAAAACAACCATTTCTGTTGGGCTTGGATCCATTCTATATATTTATCTTGAAAATCACAGACGTGTAACCCAGGAGGGGTAGCGATTCACCTGCTTCACCAGCAGGCGTCCGCCGTGTGTGCCGTCGAAGGAGCTGGGGCCGGGATTGAACAGAGCAGTATCTGTACGTGTTCTTGGTTGGTGCCAGGGAAGGAGATGGAGGTGCTGCCAGGAGCAGACCTCTAGGGAGGGCTTCCCAAAAGAGGCAACATTGGACAGAAGTGCAGACCTGTGCCCTCTGTCCCCTGCCATGCTGACCCCTCCTCCTCTCCCTTTTCTGCCCTCCCCCCTTAGCCCCAGCCCTGCTCTTTCCTCTCCCCTGAGATCGAAAGCCCCAGCCTGCGGGGCCGTCCCTCTGAGCCATCCCTCTCGCCAGCTGGGGTGGAGGAGACGGGATCGTTTTGCTTTGGGAAGACTTCTCATCTTGCCGAATGAGAGTAAACAGATCTCGCTAGACTCCGGGTTTCACTGAGCTGAGGAGGTGATGGTGACTGCCACAGCGGGTGTGCTGTGTGTTCTGGATAAGGCACCTTCCCTAGGTTGTGACCTCTCTTCTCTCTCCCCTGTGTGCAGGTCCCTCCAGCCCTCCGTTTGGCCGGCTGCCAGCGCTCCAGCCCCCAGCATGGAATGAATCTATGCACTTCTTCTGGATAAGTGTGGGGGGCCTTCCCGCCCTGGCGTCCATGAGCAAGGCCACGGATCCCCGCTTCCGCGCCCGCTGGAAGGTGATCCTGCCGTCCGTTGTGGGCGCTGCCGTCCTCTGGCTGCTGTGCTCACACCGCCTGTCCCCAGTCAGGCCCCCTGTGCCCAGTGCCCACAACCAGAAATTCGGCCAGGAGGCCATTGACTGGTACAATGACACCTATCCCCTGTCGGCGCCCCAGAGGACGCCAGGCGGGACCCGGTACCGAATTGCTCTCATTGCCGACCTGGACACTGACTCAAAGGCCCAAGAGGAAAACACCTGGTTCAGTTACCTAAAGAAGGGCTATCTGACCCTGTCCAACAGCGGGGACAAAGTGACCGTGGAGTGGGACAAAGGCCACAGGGTCCTGGAGTCCCACCTGGCAGAAAAGGGGAGGGGCATGGAACTGTCTGACCTGATCGTCTTCAATGGGAAGCTGTACTCCGTGGATGACCGGACCGGGGTTGTGTACCAGATCGAGGGCACCAAGGCCGTGCCCTGGGTCATCCTGTCTGACGGCGATGGAACTGTGGGGAAAGGTAAGTGGGCCGGCGCTGTCTCCGGGGCTCCATGAGGTGCGGGGACCAGCTCCATGGGTGTTTGGCTCTGTCCCACACTGCTCTCAGCACCTTTGGGACCACTTATGTCTTAAGCAGTCTCTTAAGAGCACACTGGGGTTACCCTGCTCAGGCACCTTCCCCGGAAGCCCTGAGGTCCGAGTGTTGTCACTTTGAATTGAGTCTTTTGAGAAGGTACACTTCTCCCGCCCGGCCTCCCCAGTCTGGAACCCCAGCAGGAGGGTCTGTGAGCAGTGACCCCACTTGGGTGGATGCCAACCTCTGAGCCCCTCCATGCCTGCGGCTCTTCTGTCACCCAGGAAAGGGTCACTGCCTTCAGCAGTTGGGAGGAGACCAAGGGGGAACCCCAGGGGCCAGGGAACTTCAGACAGGCGGCCGCAGGAGGCGTTGGCCACAGCAGGTGTTTACCGAAGCTGCTGCGTGTGGCACACTGTCGCTGTGGGTTTAAACCTAGAAAGCTCATCCCACGGGGGGCTGCCTGAGGCAGAAGGAGACACCTTGAGAAGAGGACTTTGGAGGTCAGGACGCTGCGGGGCGGGCGGTGGTGAGGCAGCAGCGGCAGGAGCGTTGACGTCCATTTCACAGGCCGTCACAGCAGAGGCCCGGGGTAGCCACCCGAGGCACGTGAGGTCGTTCCTGGGGGGCAGGGGCGCAGGCGCTAGCTCCCTGTGTGAATTGTTTTGGGGTCTGCTCTGAAGAGAGCGCTGGCTGCTGACCCTCCAGGAATGGGGCTTGAGCCAGGCTGTCTTGTCCACTCTCTGGTCACTGGCTCAAGTGAAGTTTAATACGGTGGCGGGACCCCCAGGAGCCAGGTGGGCAGAGGGCCAGCTGAGGTCTCAGCCCGCCCACTCATCTCCTCTTCCCCAGGCTTCAAAGCTGAGTGGCTGGCAGTGAAGGACGAGCGTCTGTACGTGGGCGGCCTGGGCAAGGAGTGGACCACCACCACGGGGGAGGTGGTCAATGAGAACCCTGAGTGGGTGAAAGTGGTAGGCTTCCGGGGCAGCGTGGACCACGAGAACTGGGTGGCCAGCTACAACGCCCTGCGAACTGCTGCAGGGATTCACCCACCAGGTAAGAGCTGGGGCCCAAGGATGTCTGCAGTTTTGGTTCTTGCTCAGTTTGTTGACTTTAGGGGTCTGGTGGCTGCTCCTCACAGCCAGTGAATTCTGGGGCAGATGAGGCATTTTCTCTGTCACCCCTCTCGCCCTGACTCATGGCCCTGCTGGCCCGGCTGAGCCCAGCATGGCTGTCCCCGGGACAGAGGAAGGGGGCCACGCTCTGGCCTTTTCCCTCACCTCCCAAGAGTCACCGTCGTGGTGGCAGGGGGTGGCGATGTGGAGTGGCTGGCCAGCTCCAGGCACGGGGCATGTGGCTGAGGGCTCCAGCTCGGCCCTGCCCCCCAGTGGGACGGTAGCAATGCTGCCTTTGCAGCCGGGAGGTGCCCTCCTGCCCAACCACCTCATTCCTCCATCACAGAGCAGCCTGTTCGTCCCTTCTGCTCCCCTCCCCTGGCACTCTGCTCTCTGATCAGCACCAGGGAAGCAGAAGGACAGACAGACCGAACGGCAATGGCTGCTCAGCAGCTCTGGAGAAGCTGGGCCAGGGAAGATGGGGCCCGGGACAGGACAGGCTCCATCGGCTCTGTCCATCCCTGATTCTCTGGGTGATGAGGACAGACCCTGAGGCAGCTTCTAGGAAACAGGAGAGCTGGAGAGAAGCCAGGCGGTGATACTGCTCACGGGGGCTGCAGCCTCGAAGCGTGTGCTGGGCACAAGGCCACTGCCCAGCAGCCCTGGGCCCTGCTCGCCTGCTGCCCTGAAGCCCAGAGCCCCTCGCACCCCAGTCAGCATGGTGGGCCAGGCCCACCCTGACGGCCCTGCCCTGTGTCCCCAGGCTATCTCATCCATGAGTCCGCCTGCTGGAGCGACACCCTGCAGCGCTGGTTCTTCCTGCCGCGCCGGGCCAGCCACGAGCGCTACAGCGAGAAGGACGACGAACGCCGGGGCACCAACCTGCTCCTGAGCGCTGCCCCGGGCTTCAGGGACATCTCCGTCCGCCGCATCGGGGAGGTGGTCCCCACGCACGGCTTCTCCTCCTTCAAGTTTGTCCCCAACACTGACGACCAGATCATCGTGGCCCTCAAGTCTGAGGAGGACGGCGGCAAGATCGCCACCTACATCATGGCCTTCACGCTCGACGGACACTTCCTTCTGCCGGAGACTAAGGTTGGAAGTGTGAAGTACGAAGGAATAGAATTTATTTAAATTTTAAAAACCAAGACGTCGGACAAGGCTGAGGAGTGGACGGTTTTAAGCTATGTAGGGACTCAAATCTATAAAAGCAGAGGGCTTTCCTTTCCTGGTATTTGTTTTGCTGTTTTTCTTTGCGGGACTCCGAGGTGGGTGGGTATAGAGGCCTCCAGAGTAGGGAGTTAGGGGCGCGGCGTGTGGAGCAGCCCAGACCTGTCTTCTCGGAGCTGGGAAGGGCCAGTCCCCAGGCCAGTCCCCAGGCCAGTCTTAGGGCTGCTGGTCCTGCGCGCTGACACCTGGCGGCGGAAGCTGAGCACTGCAGGCACCACAGCAAGGGCCCCGCGTCTGCCCGGCCCGGCGCCCCCTCTGCCTCCCTTTCTCTTCTTTCCATTGTTCTTTTGTTCAATAAACGTTTCTTCAGCTCCTGCCCTGTGTCCAGCACTGAGCCCCTGGGGACACAGCAGTGACCCTGAAGTGCGCCTTCCCATCAGGAACTCCAGGTCCCGCCTTTTCCTCCTGCCCTCCTGCTTGGGAAGGACCGTGGACTCCCTCCTCGGGACTCTCTGGGACGTTTCTGGGCTGTATGAGCGAGGGCCGGCCCCTGGGAGCACGGGATGCTACAGGAAAGGTCGCTAGCCCACCGTCTGTCCCCAAGCCTCACATCAGACAACTTCGATTTCACACCCCGGTTTCATTTCCTCCCTTCAGGAAAAGTCTGTGGCTCCGTAGCTATTTGAAGTTTTAATTATTAACTTACTCTAATTAAAGCAGTTCCCTTTCTTATAAAAGGGAACCGCCAAGTCTCATCACACAGAGCCAAGTCCCGGGCTAACAGACTGTTCCCCCAGTGGAGGGAATTGTGACCAAGAGCTACAGTGGGTGAGGCAGGTTTTACCCACCTGTGAGCCCTTGGCCAAAGGATGCAAAATACGGAACAGCATCTTCTCCAGCACCAGAAACTGCCCTGCCTGCAAGGACTCCCACGAGTAGCTCGGATAGCATTGCTGAGTCCAGTGAGACCCCGGGTCCTGGCAAGCCTCGGCCCGGCGCCGTGGATGGGCCTGCCGGCCCTGCCCGCACTCTGCGTCCCGCCCTTCGTCCCCCCTCTTCCCGTGGGAGTTCCGCAGCCTCTTCAGGGAATCCTCCCACAAACTCTGGCTTGTCTGGGCCCTGTGGTCTGTTCGCAATGCCCCGGGGGAAAGGCAGAGGGTTTGGGACAGAGGTCAGCCAGGACCCAAGCCGAGGGGGCCCCTGGCCCAGAAGCTGCCTCACCCCCAGGAGAACGCAGGGCGCCTGGATGGTAGGAAGGGCCGCCTCCCACTCTGGCTGCTGCTCTGTGGACCTGTCCCGAGACTTCTCAAGTTTGAAACTGCAACACAGCCACCAGGAGAGAGCCCAGTGAGGGTCCCTCTTCCTTGAGCTGCTGGTCATTTGTTTTTTCTATTGAGCCACAAAAGTGAGAGAACAGAAAACCGGCTGTTGACAGTGACACGATTATCTCAGCACAGCTCCCACTGGACCTGCCTTTTCTGACGGTGCCTGGAGGGCTCCCTGACCCACCTCCTTGACAAACGGCAGTGATGTCAGTGCTGCGAGATTTAAAAATGCAGAGATGGAATTAGGAAGGTGGGGAGACTCGGGACAGTCGCCACGTTGAGACCTTTCTGAGGCTTTTGTGTTGAGGCCTTGGCAGGGCCAGGGTGCCCAGAGCAGCCTGCTCGCCCCACTGTGACTTTGAAACGTTTTAAATAAATATTTGCCGCTGTGATTGTAACAATCGTGCTCCTTGCTGGAGCCATTGTTCTGTGAACAATAAAGTGTAGAGGGGCTGGGAGTTCTTTGTCTCCTGCTCTGTGCTGGCCTCCTGCCCAGGGCCCTGTGCCCGGGGTATGGGAGGGATGTGATGACCGCACCCCTCACCACAGGGTGGCTCTGTCCCATGGGGTGGGCAGCCCTGCTTGGTCCCCATGTGCCGTGGAGTTCACGGGCAGCCGCCTTCGCAGACCAGGGGAGCCTCCTGGAAACCAAGGCACTGAGTCCAACTTTTCGGAGCATAGGCTCTGCGGTCACTCCCGGCTCTCATCCTGGCTGCCTGGGCTCAGGCCCTTCTTGCCGCCTGACCCTGGCAGGGTGTCTGGCTTCTCGATGCTTTGATTTCCTCATCTGTGAAAGGGAGGTAGTGACAATAGAGCTATTCACGGCTGCCGGAACACTGGGTGCATTCCCACGCCTCAGGGTGTTGGGAAATTACCCAGTTACCTGGGAGCACCGGTGTTGGGTGGGGCTCAGGCCAGAGGTACAGAGTGGTCGGGTCTGCAGGAAACAGTGAGTTCAGAGGACAGGCACGGTCCTAGGAATGAAGCCTCGAGGACACCGAAAAGGAGGGACTGGTGAAGGAGAGAGGCCATCAGACGTGGAGGGGACTGGCCGAGCAGTGTCAGAGGCCAGCATCATGGTCTTCCTTTGGTCCCTTCAGACCCACTCTGTTCCCTGTCCTGCCCTGTGTCCCCAGAGGCTGACCTGAGTGAGCCTCCTCCAAGGCCTCGGGGGCAGGAGAGAGCAGGGCAAGCTGGGAGCCCTGACCCCATCTCCCGAGGCAGCTACCTCTGCACTCTCTCCCCACTTTTGTCCCTTCTGGCCTGGGAATGGGAACAGCTCCAGGTACCACACTGTAAATAGTACCCCCTTTTTCTTCAAATTATAAGGGAATGTTTATTTGGAAAGTTAACAGAGGTAGTAGAGTGAGCCAGCTGGCTAGGCTCAGGAAACAAGTTAGCAGCAGAAGAGGGGTCTTTGGAGCTTAGGAGAGAGAAAGGCGAAGGTAATGCACCTGGGGGAGAGGAGGGGCGGGGAAAGGCACGAGGTGCTCCTGAGGGGGAGAGCACCTGTAGCCCCTTAAAGCCTCCAGGGGCTATCTGAGTCTAGAACCAGCCATTCCTGCTGGGAGCCGGAGGGGACAGCCAGGGAGGACAGTGGATGCCCAGGGCTGCGGAGGTCAGTAGGAAGGCCTGGAGAGTGTCCAGAGCTGAGCAGGTGGATGAGGTGTTCCTGGCGGTTCCGGGAGAAGGGGGTGGGCAGAGGCGGGCATGGAAGGGGGGACTGCACATGGAGTCCCAGGAACCAGAAGTCAGTCCTGTCCTGATCTGCTGGCTCACACGGGCAGGGACTTGTGCCTGTGTGGCACTGCCATGGCCAGCATGCAGAAAGTGAACCAAAAGTCCTCTGAACTGGCTGAAAAAACGAAATTAATTTCTTTCCAAATGTTGATCTTGTCTTCTTGTGCACTTTAAATTGGTAAATTTTATGGTAAATTACACCTTAATAAAATTGTTAAAAGGTTTAAGTAAAGCAAAAATAAAATACCCTCACAAACCGGGCCGGTGTGGCTAAGTGGTTGAGCATCGACCTGTGGTCCAGGAGGTCAAGGTTCGATTCCTGGTCAGGGCACGTGCCCGGGTTGTGGGCTTGATCCCCAGTAGGGGGCGTGCAGGAGGCAGCCGATCAATGACATCATTGATGTTTCTATCTCTCTCCCTCTCCCTCTGAAATCCATAGAGACATATTTAAAAAAAAAATTCCAAGCCAAAACGGCTTTACTGGTGAATTGTACCAAGCATTTAATCAAGGAAGAAATTAACACCAATCCAACACGAAACCTTTCATGATCTAGGGATTCAGGAACACTCCCCAGTGGCAGTTTATGAGGGCACCGCTGCCCTGACACTAAAACCAGGCAGATGTATTACAGGAAAAGAAAACCAGACCAGCATCCCTCATGGACACAGATGCCAAAATCCTTGGCAGAAACTCAGCCAATTGACAACATCCAGCAATAGATAAAAATGAAAACCCTCCACGACTGCAGGTTATGCCAGGATACAAGGGTGGTTTAATGTCCTAAGATCAGTGTGACCACCCTGTTACCAGGCTAAAGAGGAAAAGCCTTGTGACAATCTCAAAAGATACAGAAAAAAAAGCATTTGACAAAATCCAGCACGTATTCATGACTGAGAAACACAGCAACGACAAAAAATTACCGCCCAGCCGGCGTGGCTCAGTGGTTGAGCGTCGACCCATGAACCAAGAGATCACGTCCCCAGTAGGGGGCGTGCAGGAGGCAGCCGACCGATGTTTCTCTCTCTCACTTTCACCCGATAAAGGGCGCCCGTGAGAAACCTGCACGCCCCTCACCTCGTACCTTGTGGGGAAAGGCGGGACCAAGGTAGGCTGTCTGCTCACACCACTCACTCCCCAGTCATCCTGCCGGAGGTCCCAGGCAGTGCAGTTAGGCAAGAAAAAGGAAAGTCACCCAGGTTACGAAGGAAAAAGTAAAACTGCCTTTGTTTGCCAAATGGCAAGATTCACTAAGTGGAAAAGCCTAAGAAATCTTTAAAAACTAACCGTGGAGTCTGGCCGAGCCACAGGATACACAGTCCACACACAGAAATTAATTTTATTTCTATGTAGCTGCAGTGAACAATTGGAAATGGAAAATTTTTTAAACAATGTCATTTACAAAAGCACCAAAAAACCCAAAGCAGCCCTGGCAGGCTTGGCTCAGTGGTTAGAGCGTCGGCCTGTGGACTAAGGGGTCGAGTTCGATTGTGGCCAATGGCACGCACCTCAGTTGCAGGCTGGGCCGCAGGCCCTGGTCGGGGGCGTGCAGGAGGCAACCAGTGGATGTCTCTCTCACATCCACGTTTCTCTCCCTCTCCCTCCCTCCCGCTCTCTCTGAAAATCAGAGGAGTGAGGAATAACAACAACAGGAAGTGCATAAGATCTAAATAAACATTTCGACAACCAGGAGGGATGAGCGACAAATAAGCACAGGCGAAGACGCTCAGCCTCGACAGTCATGAAAACCGCAGTGAGAGTCTGCTGCACACGCACCGGAACGAATAAAAGTAAAGGGGCCGGCGGATGCCAGTGCGCAGCCAGGGTGTCGGCAGACCTGGCAGCGGCTCCTGCAGCCCGATGGGGAACCAGCAACGACGGGCATTCACCGTGAGGCAAGCGAAACTGCTACGCGCCTGCTGAGTAAAAGCAGCCAGGTGCAGAGCGCACGAGGCTCTACAGCAGGCCAGGCCCCGGCACGGCCCGTCCGGCAGCCAGGGACAGGGCATGAGGCTCTACAGCAGGCCAGGCCCCGGCACAGCCCGTCCGGCAGCCAGGGACAGGGCATGAGGCTCTACAGCAGGCCAGGCCGGCGGCACGGCCGGTCGCCGGGCTTGGGGCTGGTGCAGGAGACTGGGAAGATCGGGCCTGATGAAAACGTCCTGTGTGTTATGATTGCCATCACCTGTCACCGTCAGAACTCATTAAATTAATGCATTTTATCCCACAGAAGTTACATCTTGAGCCAATGGTTAAAAAGAAAGACAGAAAAGCAAATCCCAGCCCTGCCCCTTCGGCTGTGTAGCTTTGGGTGGTTCCCACCTCTCCGCCGTCTCGTCTGTAAAAGGGTTGATTAGCAGTGGAGAAAGCCGCTCCTGGCTACATTTATCAGCGTTGCAGGCCCTGTTCCTACTCTGAAAGCCCCTGGCACTGTCACCAACAATGTGTCCTAGCAGTGTCGTCCACACCCTGTCTGGGACCTGCACGGTCTCCTTGTCACAGCCGAGCCACATTGTTAAAATTCAACCATGGCTGTCATCCATCTTGCTCTGGTTATCACGTCACCCAGACTGCAGCCTTGGGAGGCTGCCATCACCAACATCCACATCAGAGCTGAGAGGGGAGAGAGGGGCCCCCCCGAGCCTCATGAGCAGCCAACCCCAGAAGAATCCTGGGACACGTGGTTTCTAGAAATTGAAACTAGACTCAGTTTTCTGAAGCACTGTCTGGGACCAGCTTGACTGCGCTCCACACTGGGTCTTCCGGGGTGAAGGACAGTCTGCAGAGGGTCCTGCTGCAGGAAGGCAGGGGTGCCCTGGACGCCCACCAGCATCGCGCAGGCAGGTGAGCAGCGCCTCGCTCTCAGGTGGGCGTCCCTCTCCTTATCCAGTGTCATCCAGCTCTTCCTGTTTGCTGCTCCAGAGCCTGGGGGTCGTTGCTGCTGCTCCCTGGTCCACGGGGCCTCCTGCGCAGCCAAGCAGGTGTTTCGCTGCACGAGGACACCAGGGTGCTCTGCACGCAGCCCACGCTTGTCTGTGACCTCTCCGTGCATAGCAAGGCCTGCTGGGCCTCTCTCTGCCTGCGCCCTGCACACCCTGCCATCCCTGCTGTCCCTACCTTCCCTGCCCTCCCCGCCTTCCCTGCCCTCCCCATCTGCCCCAGCTGACAGGGACTGGTTTTCTGAGGTGCACTCCCCTTTCCTCTGTGCTTGCTGCCCTGAGACACCCCCTGCTCCCCCTTCATCTGGGCAAGTCCTACAGGACCTTAGAGGACCACCCCTCAGGGGAGGCCAGGGACCCCTGCTGGGGCACCCATCACCCTCTGCCCCCTGCCCTCTGCCCTCCACAACAGAGTGAAGGCTGGACGAGACTGGTCCTGGTCCCAGGGCCATCAGCACCACTGTCTCACTGCCACATCTGCTGCTGCAGCCAGCCTGGCCATGGCCCTCCCACGGCTCCTCTGGATGTGGCTGCTGGTTGCAGGGACACAAGGTGAGCTGAGCCGGGAGCCATCCGGCAGCTGCCTTTCCCTTACCGGGTAGGCTCACCTCTCCCCACCTGCAGAAGATCTAGGCAACGTTGTGCCTGGTGCCAGTCCCCGGGGTCAGCTCAGGCCGGCTCTCCTGCATGAAGCCCCAGGTGTCCCAAGTTGTGTGGCTTTACCTTTTGGGGGGATACCCGGGAATTCTCCATTCCATCCAGCTCCCAGGGGACAGATGGGGAGGGCGGGGAAGGTGGGATGAGCAGGAGGGACCACCTGACCAGCCAGATGCTGGGGGATGAGACCAGGGCCCTTTGCACACAGACCTCGAGAGTCATAGACACTGGTCCTCATGCTCCTTACCCGGAGCCCTAGGAGGCCTTCCTCATCCCAGTGACCCCGGTGACCCCACGAAGCCTGCTGCACCCCAACTGAGAGTTGCCCTTTGACCCTGTCAGCTCCAGCGGGGGCTGAGCCTGGGGGAGGGGGTGCAGTCAGCAGGCTGGGTCCTGGAAGCACAGTGTGGAGCCGGGACCCCACTTTCTCCCTGCACCTGGCTTGTTCTGCCTGTGTTTCCCTGGTTCCTGGGCCTGTTGCCCCAGGCATTCCCCACCCCCTCCAGCAGCCCTTGCTCGGTGCACGGCTGCCCCCAGACTGACCTCTGTGTCCCCTCGGGAGCCCTGCAGGCGTGAAAGATGGTGATATGCGGCTGGCCAATGGGACCTCTGCCAATGAGGGCCGCGTGGAAATCTTCTACGGAGGCCAGTGGGGGACAGTGTGTGACAACCTGTGGGACCTGACGGATGCCAGCGTCGTCTGCCGTGCCCTGGGCTTCAAGAATGCCACTGAGGCACCAGGCAGAGCCACCTTCGGGCCAGGTAGGCCAGCCTGTCCCCGATCCTCCCAAGCAGCCCATCCTAGGAAGGGACCTGGGACACGAGCACATTGTTCCCACACCCTCTGCAGACAATGGTGGGCCTGGTGCAGGGAAGGCACCCCCACTCCCGCCCACTCACCCCGCAGTGGCTGTGAGGAGGCTCATGGGCACGTCCCTCGGGATCAGCTGTGGCTGTTCCCTCCAGCCCAGAAGCCCCACTCCTGGGAATTTATCTTCCTGAAACAATTTACCCCCAAAAGAAAAATCTGTGCAGGAAGATTTTCATAGACACAGTGGCTGTGATTCCTAAAAATGGGAAATAATCGAGGTTTTTAGTAATGTACTGTCCATGGAGCAGACAGACATGAGAAGGAAGGCCCGCTTGTGGCACGATGCCACGGCAATAAGCGGGAACCCACAGTCAAGGAGCCACCAGTTGTCCCAGGTGAAGGACACACTCATGTAACACAGAGCTCTAAGGGCTCGGGACTCTGGAGGTTTCCCATCCCTGTGCAATCCGGGCAACTGTTCTTTGCCTGGCTTCTCGAGGGAGCCCGGCCCAACCTCCTGTGTCCGTCCTTGCTGTCCCCCCAGGAAAGGGCCCTATCATGCTGGACGAGGTGCAGTGCGTGGGGACGGAGCCCTCGCTGGCCAACTGCTCCTCCCTGGGCTGGCTGAGGAGCCAGTGCAGGCACAGCCAGGACGCCGGCGTCGTCTGCAGCAAAGGTGTGTGTGGGGCTCGCCCATCCCACGCCCCCCAAGGTGCTGGCCCCCCCCGGGGCCCTGGGCCCGGGATGGTGGTCCTGCCACTCCCTGGCCCTCCCAGCCCATCATACACCTGGGCACAGGTTTGCAGGTGACCCCCACTCCCCAGGTGGGTGGGACAGTCTCAGAACCCGGCCTCCCAGCTACCAGTCCTAAAGTCGACTGTCAGGCAGTGAGCCCCGTCTCGAATGCCCAGGATGTCTACAGAGTGCAGGCTTCTCTCCTTAACCGCCAACATTTTATCTCTGCTGGTTCCCTGCAGAAGCCTGTCACATAGGCCCCACCCACCCCACCAGCCGCTGACCGTGCTGGGGTGCTGCTCTTTCTTTTTTATTAGAGAGAGAGGAAGGGAGAGAGAGAAGCATTGGTTACCTCCCACACAGGCCCCTACGCAACAAGGGATCGAATCCCACAGCCTGGGTGTGTTCCCTGACCAGGGATCGAACCCAGACCCTTCGGTACACAGGACGATTGTCCAACCAACGGAGCCACACCGGCTGGGGCTGGGGACATTTCTTTCTTTCATTTTTTTAAATATATTTTTATTGATTTCAGAGAGAGGGAGGGAGAGAGAGACACATCAATGATGAGAGTCATTGCTCGGCTGCCTCCTGCGCGCCCCCTGCTGGGGATTGAGCCCACAACCCGGGCCTGTGCCCTGACCCGGAATCCAACTGTGACCTCCTGGTTCATAGGTTGATGCTCAACCGCTGAGCCACACCAGCCGGGCTGGGGAAGTTTCTTGATGGTGGGAGGCCTGTTACAGACAGCCCAGCCATCCCCGTCCCTGCTCCGTCAGACCAACAGGAGCCTGGGCTGCTCTGGTTGTCAGTCCCGAGTCCCAGTTTTATGGTTGTTCTTTGCTCCCTCACGTCCACCTGGGGCTTCTTCCTGGACTTGCACACGGGGCCTGGGGGGTGCTCCAAGGGAAGCCAGGGTGTCTTCGGAAGGACAGAGCAGCTGAGTGGAGGGCTCGCACTGGGGAGGGGTGCAGGGGGCCCCTGGGCTGGGGTGGGGTGCAGGGCAGGAAGCACTGATAGCCGAATCCCGCGGTGAGTGGTGGCCAGAGGAGGCTCCTGAGAGTCTGGGGTGTGGGGAGGAATGAGGGGACTGAGCCCACCAGTTTAAATGTTGCAATTGATCTAAACCTAATTGTGGCAAAGAGAGAACAGGTGGATTTAGTTCCCAGTGATGCTTTGGGAGGGGCGTGAGTCCCCTTGAACCACCCTTGGTGCCCTGAAGGTGGCTGCTAAGGACCGAGAGTTCTAGCACTAGGGTTGCTGAGAGACCCTCAGGCTTCGACGTCACCCCAGGGAGGAGGTCTGGTTTCAGGAGGTAACATCTGGGTGGGATTTTAAAAGGATGGGGCCTCGGGCTCTGGAAGTCAGCATCTCCAAGTCCTCCACCTGGAGGGGCTGCCTGGATCCGGGGGAGCAGATGAGTAAAGCAGGGGTGTTCGACAGGGTGGGCTGGGAGGACTGTGGGCCAGAGCACCCTGTCTTCCAGAGCAGACATCCCTCGTCTCCCCAGGAGTAGCTAAGGCAGGGTCAGAGGCTGACATTTAAGGGAAGAAACTGACTCCAAGGAGGAGAAGTACTTCCGGGTCACAGAGCAGGCGTGTGATGGGCCCACGCTCGCCTGAGCAAGCCCGGCACATTCCCTCTGCCCTTTTTAGAAACCAGAGGCACCCGTACCCTCGACCTGACCGGCGAGCTCCCCGAGGCCCTCGAGCAGATCTTTGACAGCCAGGGGGGCTGCGACCTGTCCATTGAGGTGACAGTGGAGGGCTCCGAGCACCTGCGCATGTGCGCCCACAGTCTGATCCTGGCCAGCAACCCCGAGGCCCAGGCCCTGTGGAAGGAGCCAGGCAGCACGGTCACCATCGAGGTGGACGCTGAGTGCCTGCCTGTCGTCACAGACTTAATCAGGTGAGTGTGCTCGGGGTGGGGCTCTGGGCGTGTCAGTGTCCCAGGAACCCCCAAACCCCCCTGCTAGCGCGTGTCCACATTGTCACCAAGGTGCGTGCCTCTGAGGGGATGTGCTTTGAAATCATGGACTTAAAGAATCGCATGTATTAAAACTGCCCTCTCTCCTTCTGATGACCTCCACGGCTTTCTATGGCTGAAAGGGACATGCAGGAGTTAACAGATGGCATTTAAAACAGATTAGCGTAGCTTCTTTCCAGCCACTTGTGAGAACCTGTTGGACAGCCTGAGCCATCCTGATGGGGTTTATTTCTAGGACGTATCTGAGAATGAGGCAGGTGCCTAGCCAGCCTCTGGCAAAGCTCAGGCTCAGGTGTCCTGGCCTCTTGGCCCTGTCCAGGCCCCAGAAGGCCTCAGGAGATCCCTCCCCATAGGGGCCAGCGAGCAGACACTCCCCTTCCTGCTGCCCTGTGGCCACACGCAGCTCTGTACCAAGACCTCTGTCAGTTACCCCGCTCCTTGCCAGTTTCTGTGGTTTCTCAGGGTCACTAACAGCCCCCACCCCAGCCTTTGATACTGTTTTCTACTTTTCAGGGTGTTTTCAGGGCCAGGGAACCATTATGACCCCTATGCCCACCACTCAGGTGCCTGCTGAAGGCTGAGGGGCAGGCAGGAACCCGGGGGTGGGGGATTGGCTGGGTTGGGAGGTGAAGCAGCGTCCTCCAGGGACCCACCCACTTGTTGGTGCCCAAGCAAGAGAGGTGGGCCCCCCCCCCCAGCTGTCCTGCTGTCCTTCGGGGCAAGGGATGGGGCCAGGCTTTTAGCTTCCACCCACCCCTCCAGGTACTTTTATTCCCGAAGGATCGATGTCTCCCTGTCAACCGTGAGGTGTCTCCACAAGCTGGCCTTTTCCTATGGGGTTGAGCAGCTGCAGAGCTACTGCTCGGGCCTCTTCTCCTTCTTCCTCCCCGAGGACCCCTCCTTCCAGACGGCCCTGGACCTCCACGCCTACGCACTGGCCACCCAGGACCCCCTGCTGGAGGAGCTGTGTGTAAAGTTCCTGGCCTGGAATTTCGGGGCCCTGATAGGGTCCGAGGCCTGGCCACGCGTCCCCACCGCCCTGCTCCAAGCTCTGCTCTCCAGGAGCGAGCTGGCCGTGCCCAGCGAGCTGGCCCTGCTGATGGCCCTGGACGCCTGGAGCCAGGAAACGGGAACCACCAACAGGGACGTGGAAGGCCTGGTGGAGAGGGTCCGGTTCCCCATGATCCTGCCCGAGGACCTCTTCCAGCTGCAGTTCAACCTGAGCCTGTACTGGAGCCACCAGGCCGTCTTCCAGGAGAAGGTCCTACAGGCCCTGGAGTTCCACACCGTGTCCTTGGGGCGCCTGTCCCAGTTCCGAGGCCTGAACCTCTCCTCGGACGCCTACCAGCCCCGGCTCTACACCTCGCCCACCTGGAGCGGGTCTGTGAAGGATAGATCCCGAGACTCCTCCCCCTATCAGAATAATTTCTACAGCTATAGGTCCTACCACACCAGGGACAACACCTACCAGTCCTTCAACACCCCACCGCACCCCAGCTTCCTCTTCCAGTCCAGCCAGGTCTCCTGGTCTCTCATCTACCTCCCCACTGTCCAGAGCTGCTGGAACTATGGGGTCTCCTGTTCCGCTGACGAGGTCCCTGTCCTGAGCCTCTCCAAGTCTGGCTACTCGGATCCCACCATTGGCTATGAAAACAAAGCCCTCATGCTCTGCCAGGGCCGCTTCGTGGCCGACGTCACGGGTTTCAAGAACGGGAAGGCCATGGTCCCCAATGCCCTGGACACCAACAGCTCCAGGAGAGCTTCCCTCTTCCCCTGCCCGGAGGGGTCCTTCAGCAGCTTCCGAGCCGTGATCCGCCCCTTCTACCTGACCAACTCCTCAGCCCTGGACTAGGCAGGAGGCTGCCCTCCCAGGGGGCCGAGCCGAGCTCCTTTCTCTCCACAAGCAACCACCTCTCACAACCGGCCTCCAGATGGCCCCCTGCTGCCACTGATCACTCTCTCTCTGAGCTTAAAGAAAGTACTGGAAGGTTTCAGCCCGGAGGCCGAGAACCCCCAGTTTCCCTGCTGCCTGGCTGGCTGGTCAGGAAGTGAGTGAGAAGACACGATCGTCGTGGCTGCTGGATTTCCACCGCCTTTCACTTGCTCAGCCCTCTGTTGTCCCTTGTCGCGGATCATTAAAACCGTGCAGTGGCCCCAGGTCCTCTCCTTCATGCAGAAAGGGTTACCGAGTGAGTCTCTTCTGCGTTTATATGTTGGGTGTGCCGGGCCCCGGGGTACAGGGAACAAGCAGACCCGGTCCCTGTCCTCACGAAGCCCCAGGCTAGCGGGCGAGACAGGCAGTGATCGCAAGTACACACACACCGGGCACTTGAAACTGGGCCCGTGGTGATGGAAACCCGGGTGTGCGGTGGCGGTGCCGGCTGGGACCGCCTCCAATTGGATTCTGAACAGGACGGGGCGCGTTCCGGGGAAGGAACAGCAGGTACAGGGAGTCTGTCCTCCGTAAAGCCTCGCACGTGTGTGCACAGGGATGGGAACAAAGGTTGCCACGTCAGCGTTGTTTCTAAGAGTGAAAACTCGGAAACAACTCAGCTACCCATTGGCGAGGGGCCTGACGACAAATAAAAGACCCCCGGTGGTGTAGGTCAGGGGGAAGAAGGATGTGCAGGAAGGTCCTGGGCGGCCCCCAGGGTCAAGGCAGAGGCAGGAGGACCCAGCCCGGGGTCCCACGGGGACGTCCAGTTAGAACAGCAGCGCGGGTTCCGGGTTCCGAGAGCAGGGCCAAGCATTCCAGACCGCCCCGCTTCCCTGCGATGCACCCCGGGCACAGGGTCCCCGGGCCGGAGCCTCCGGTTGGCCGAGCTCGGGCCACGTGCCTGCCACTCTCGGCCAGGGGCTCGGAGAAAGAGCATCTGGACTGTTTTGGCCTCGGGAAGGGGAGGCGGCCCAAAGCCCACCCAATGGGAGGAAGGTTCAGACGCTGGGCAGCCAAGACATCAGCGACCCCCCCACTCCTTCCCCACCAGCATGGAAGAGACGAAGGCAGAGAAATGGTCCTCCGCCCGCCCCCCTCCCAGGGCGGCTTCCCCTTCCCCAAAGGGAGCCCAGGCCCTAGGCTCCAATTGCCACGCCCAGCTCCAGGCCCATCTCGGCCACTTATTTGGCAATTCCTTGGTTTTTTTGTGGTTGTTGTCATTAATCCTGACCTCAGGATTTTTTGAGAAAGTGGAAAGGAGGGAGGGAGGAGGGAGGGGGGAGAGAGAAACATCTGTGTGAGAGAGAGACGTTGATTGGTTGCTTCCCACAGGCATCGAACCCGAGACCCTTCCGTGCGCAGGCCGGCGCTCTAACCACTGAGCCAAGCCGGCCAGGGCTCCTTAGCATTTTTGTTGTTGTTTTGTTTTGTTTTGTTTTAAGCCTCACCAGAGGACCTTTTTTCCGTTGCTTTTCAGAGAGCGTGGAAGGGGAGAGAGAGACGCATCGACGTGTGTCCCACGTCAGGGGCTGCCTCCCACACGGCCCGGTCGGGGCTGGGGCGGCCTGCAGCCCGGGTGCGTGCCCTTGACCGGGATCTAACCCGGCCTCAGTGTCCCGGCCGGCGCTCCTGGGCCACACCGGCCAGGGCTCCTTCGCATTTTCTAAGTCGTTTATTTAAACCGCACCGTGGACCGCCACCGGCACCGCCGTGGGGCGCAACAGCGGCAGAGAACAGAAAGGAAACTCCCGCGTGTGCGACAGACGCTCAGCGGCGACCCCGGGCGAGCCGCCGTGTGGGGGCCGCCGTCAGCCGCCCCCTCCCTGCGGCCAGCACCTCGCAGCAGAGGGGTGGGCCCGGGCAGGGAACGCCTTGCGCTTTGGAGGGGCAGCTGCGTCCCCCGAACGTCAGGGCCGGCCCAGCGCCATCCTCATGCCCTCTTTCTTCACCCACGGGATCTGCCCAAGGGCACGGGCAGTGCCCCAAAGCCAGGCGCCAGGCTCACCTTCCAGTGAGGGGGAGCACAGAGGCGCCTCCCGGAGGAAGCAGCCTGCTCTTGAATTCGAAACCCCTCGACCAGCCCTGGCTGGGTTGCTCAGCGGCAGAGCGTCGGCCGCCCGGCAGGGGGTCAGGAGCTGGGTTTCTGACCAAGGGCAGGCACCTGGGTTGCAGGTTTGACCCCTGGCCCCGCGGTCAGGGCACCTG